AGCAGGAATTGGGATGTCAATGCTACATTTATACATTGAGCAGTTGTCTGCATTGAACACTCTAGTCTGGGGAAAAAAAAAAAAAAGTCACGTTATATCATTTGACTCATTAGAAAAATATAAATGTTACAGTACCTTCAAACACTTCCAAAAATGTTAAAACACTATTAGATATGTCTCCTCCTTCACCTACATGCCTTGTAAAAGCTGGGTGAACTTCAGCTACCAGCTTATGCGCTACATTAAGCTGTTATATTTGATCAGGCCATGGTGCTTTCAGCTAAAATATGTGCTGTTTGTAGTTTAGCTTCCCATTCATAATTCACTTAAATAGCTTGTAACTGGATGCATATGAAAAGATATCTGTAAATAAACATATCATTTTCCTCAAGTTCACCCTCCACGATTGTTAAATTAAGTGGTATGAATACCTTGAAAGGTAATATTAAATGAAAGGTCAAGTGAAAGGTGCACAAGTTACCAAAGCTTTAGCATGCATGCAGAAACAATAGTATGGGAACAAGTAAATATTGTGTACAGCTAATGCAATCATCTAATTTTTGTTACAAGATGTCTATTTGGACAACTAAAATCCAGATGGTCCAGTCACATATCTCGCTGTGATGCCCTTGACATTTTAGGGCTTCCGTAGTCCTATGTTACATTCAACTGTTTGCTTGATTTCAGTTGGCCCTGTGTCATAGGAGTGAACCCCTTGTTTATGCATTTAAGATAAACAAGTTTTTTTAATCTGAAGCTTTCATTTTGGAACTTACCTGATTTTTAGTATCTGCAAAAGTCACCAAGTAAATGAGATGATAATAAACTTCTTCAATCCAGTGAAGAAGCTCCACAGGTGGGAATGCAGGATGGTAAATATCAACTGTGATTTTATCACCATGCCTTGTGAGGCTCAGTTTTGGTGGTCCTATTTTTCCTGCAACACATTGCACCTTTGCTATTAGGCCAAAGCTTTTAAAATAAAACACGGTATTTATAGTTAACTTCCCAAAATTCTTCAGAAATTTGAAAAGAATTACATGTTTATTTCAATATTGTTACTAACAGACAACTGTGACACTTAGAAATAATGGAGGTGGATACATTCATGAATCTGCTTCTAAAATGGAAACAGCACAGAATTCCCCTGGTAAGCAATCCAACTTTCCTATACACCTAAGGCCATATCAATTCAGCTGACAACAGAAAAAGCTAACAAAGCAATGACAAATACATATGTGAAGCAGAGAAGAACACAACATACTGCTGACTAGATCCCACCATAAGTCACACCCAACTAAAAACAATACTGTACTGAAACAAAGGCTAACTGAAAATGTAAAGAAATCTCATCTCCAGCAACAGTACTTAGGAAGCTTGATTTCCAATGGCTATGGTCTACATGAATTTTTTGTGCCTGATAATTTGACTGAACATGCACGTTTCTTGTTCAACAGGAAAATTATTTTGTCTCTCTCCTCCATATGGGACTACCAATTTTCTGTAAACTGTCAAACTCTGAAAAATTACCATGACTTTTGTCCCTTAGTCAAACACTGGAAAGAAGCCACTGTTTCCAAGTTGTGGGAGTATTTTGGGAAGGAATCACAGTGGAAAAGAAGGAGGGACTCCACTTCCTCAAATTTAGCAATGCAGAAATCTAGATCTTCCTAAAGCATAGCCCAAGCTGGGGAGAATCTCAAGGGCAGTGCCCTGCCTGAAAGCCATATGTTGAGAGTGGAGCAAGCATGAGAGGAAGTCTCTCAGTCTTTCCTCACTCTGTGGCATGGAAACCTACTCCTACAGTAGTCATGTGAAAAAATGACTTCTCCTGAAGCAGCCCAAATGATTTATATGAAAAATGAGTAACTGTTAGTTATCCACTTACATTGGACTCCCATAGTTTCTAGATAGTATCTAGGCACCCAAAGCTGTCAATACATGGGATTATAGTGTTGAGCAAGGCATCACCAACCACCTGAATACTACTTTATTAGTGGTATTTACTAGCTGTGGGCATAAAGGCCCACAGCTTCCAGTGGTAGTGTCCTACACTAGCCTGGTGTCTGGGACACAAAGCAAGAGTATAGGAAGGGTGCACAGAGTGCACCATAAGTGTTACTTTCTTGCCTGTAGAAGTTTTGAAAAAAATATTCAGATACCACAATGACAGGACTAACAAGTCCCTACAGAGGCAGAACTACAGAAGTTCCCACTGAAAACTCAGCATACTTTGTTTCGTCCTAGACTCCTGACTTTATGACATTCCTAAATGAAACACAATAATAAAGCAAAAAGGATAATTACTAACTTCTGGAGTTTTGGGAAAAAATTTAAAGGTTTAGTTTATGATGGAACTTACCATGTTTTTGCCAAATAAACTCCTCTGTCTTAGCATATTCGGACTGTTGTGACCCAATAACAGCTTTAACTTGAACCCAATGAGACATAAAAGGCCCATGTATTTCTCCTGAGAGATCACAAGAATGAGCTGAAATGTTCACACAAGTTGAGATGACCTTGTATTTACCTAAACTGTAAAACAGAGGAAGGAACAGTTAATACAATGTCAGCTGCACAATTTTGTACAATGCACTGCTCGAGACAAGACATCTGTGAGCTGACTGAACACTGGCACAGGTTGCCCAGGGAGGTTGTGGAGTCTCTATCCCTGGAGATGTTCAAAAGCCATTTGCACATGGTCCTGGGCAACCTGCTCTGGGTGGCCCTGTTGGAGCAGTGGGGTTGGATCAGGTGATCTCCAGAGGTCCCTGCCAATCTCAACAGTCCTGTTACTCCACAAATTTTTCCTTAATTTACACTTAGGCAAACTTCACTCTACATGACTTCATCATATAGAAACAAAAGGATTTAACACGGAGTGATTGCTTTTATATGCTTCTAGAGAATATCACGTACAGGAAATTACTGTAAAATAGTAAGAACTTACTCATAAGGTAGGATTTCCACAGTAAAATGAGGAGTTTCAGACATATGCGGGTAGTGCCAACGCAAGATAGTTTTGAAATTTTCAGATGTTATTACAGTCTGTGTTGGTGAAGGCACTAGAAGAAACAGAACAACTGCACTTAAAAGAAATGGACCTAGTCAAATATAAGAACAGCCAAACATATTTCTAAAGTTATTTGGAAAAGGCAACACAGTAGAATTTACTGGAAAAAATCAGACATAAAAATTGAAAATACTTCCCCTCAAAAGGACTAGATTGTCACCAATATGAACACATGAGCCCTGCAAGCTAATTTATTCTTCTCTCCTACAGAGACAGCTTTCTTCCTGTTTGCAACCCAGAACCTCCAATAACCTGTGCCCACTGCAAGCAAGTCCATCAGCTAGCCCACCCATATCAGATTCATAAGCTGTGATGATTATACCCCTATGTTGGCATTACACAGATACACCAGCAAGAAAGAGTTTATTAAAGTTAAGAAGAGAGTAGCCTAGCTCTTGTAGATTTATCTTGCTTTTTAGACACTGAACAGGGTGTGAGTGGACAGGGAGAAGAGAGGACACCAAAGCTGCAGTATCAGGGTCTGTGCTCCAGAAAAGTCCTGTCGAGTTCTACTTTCTCCTGACTCTGACTTGCCAAAAGGTAACAGGCCTGCTGGGGAAAGCCTGGATTCAGCACGAGTTTCTGACAACACTATATTTACCACTCCAGCAGTATTTTCATCAAGTCATGATGGTAATAATAAACTACTAACATTTGTAAAGAATTAGAATGCTGAAGTTGCAATGTAGTTCCATATACAAGAAAGCATTTGAAGTACATTTAGTAAAAAACATCAAAGGCAACGTGGTAAGCAATAAAAAAATTGAAAAGCAGCATTGCTAGTTTTCTCATACAGCAAGCTTCTATTCTAAGTGGTGACAGGGATATTGGAGGAGCAGCCACCAGGGAAGGGAAATTACATCATCTTATAACAATCAAAGGCTGTTGCAAGGCATTCAGAAAGAGAAAAAAAATGAAGGCCACTCAATCAATTTTAATTATTACTTCTTAGGTTTTCAAGAAGCGGTTTGGCATCCTTAATATTCTCTTAATATAGCTTTCGTAAAATGTTGACAGGTAACTCACATCTGACCTTCTCTAGACTGCTACCTGTTCACAAGGCAAGTGCCCCAACTTCACTTGGTGATACGCTGAGGGAAAGTAAACGTTTTCACATCATCAGAACAAGACCACAAAGATAACGCTCTACAGAAAGTAACACAGAGAGGCCGAGATATGTTATTAACCACGAAGATTTGAAACACACGTAACATATAGCACTCTGCAAATGGTGCTGTGGTTTAGTCATGTTCTAATACGTACAAAAGTGGTACTTCAGTTATTGGAAAAAAGGAAAACAATCATCAAATTCTCAACCACAAGAAAAAAGGGTGACAAGTTGACAGAAGAGGTGTCAAAGCACACAAATGTTACTTCACATATTTAGTTTTAAGGCACGGCGTAATAAGTCTTAAACATTTTACTTTTGTGTATTATTATACAAATAAAACTATACTTAAGAGTAGAAAATGAAATTCCATATTTAAACTGCCAGTAGGTTCTACATGGCTTTTAGTCACACAACTGCATACCACTTTGCTTTCTCCTCCCTCATTCTTCTGTCTATCACCACAGTTTTACCTTCTACATAAATAAGAGTTGCTACTGTAGATTTCAAGAGATGAAACTTCAAACTATTCAGGAAGCTGCTTCTGAGGGCCTAGGGGTCCATGAGCACTGACTGGCCAGCTTTTAAGAACTAACTTTTAGAAGCACAGGAGCAGGCAATCTCATGGTGTCATAAATCAAGCAAGTGAGGCACACCAGCTTGGCTGAGAAAGGAACTCCTCTAGGAGCTCAGGAGGAAAAAGAAGTTATGCCATCTCTGAAAGCAAGATTCAGGCTCTGCAGGAACACTACAGAGTCATAGTTCACAGGTAGAAGACACGAAAGGCCAAAGCTGAACTAGAGCTGAAACTGGCCACTGTTGTTTCACATCACAAGAAGGGCTTTAAGTACTTTAATAGCAAGTGAAGGTCTAAGGAAAACATTAGACCAATACTTGTTGAAGATGGTCACATGACTAATTGGGATGAAGAGAAAGCAGAGTCACACAATGTTAGTTTTTTTGCCTTGGTCATTAATAACATCGACAGACCTCGAGATATCTACTCCTCCAAGTCAGAGGAGCCAGACTGCAGGAACAGTGACCCGCCATTTGCAGCTACTGAAATGATAAGTGGCCAGCTCTATCAGTTGAACCAGTTCACCAGTCCGTGGGGCCTGATGGGATTCACCCAAGAGCATTGAAGGAGTTACCAGATGTTGCAGTAGGACGCCCTTCTCGATCACCTAGCAAAGGTCTGAGAAGGTCTGTGTGATATCAGTGCCCCAGAAAAGATTAGAAGTTTGGAAGATACGGTTATTCGTATACTGGAAGATACAGTTACTTGTGTATTTTAAGTTAGTTAAAGTCAGCACAGGAGAAGCCTGGTTTGGCTTTTGCAGTTATATACCTATGAACGCTCTTAGTAATGCACTTCCGTTTTAAATGGAAACAAGATCTAATCATTAATAACAGGTTATCTCTGTCTACAACAAAGGCTATAGAGAGAATGATGACTTTGCCAGCTGACTAGTCATGAAAAACAGGTGGAAGATGGCCAAATCTAAGTGAAACTTAGGGAAACAAATGGAGCAGGGGGAGATCACAACCACTAACTCATGGACTACCTACCCTAATTATACCACCTTCTCAGAGGAACAAGGAAATGAATACCTAAGGAACTGGACAGAGCACATGTGGCGATTTAAATAGCACGTGAGGATATTTTAACCAATCATACAGATAGATAACAATGCATATATAATAGAAAGATGATGAATTAATTAAAACTGTGTATAAGGAACGGGTGATTTAGGATGCTGGTGTGCTGGTTTTGACCCAGCACCTATGATTGCACTCTCATGAGAATAAAGAAAATATCTCCACCTTGTACATGTGATTGGCAGTTGCATATCAGGTGATGGACCCAGTTTTAGGAAAACACCTCCTGACTGGAAGCCAACCAACACTATTTCAATTTACAAGAAAGGCATGAGGGAAGACCCAGGAAACTACAGATCTGTTAGTCTGACCTTAGTACCTGGAAAAATTATGGAGATTGTACTGAGTGCTATTGAAAGACATCTGAAGGACAACACAATCATTTGGCATAGTCAACACGTGTTCATGATGCAGCTTTTGTGGATTTTAGTACGGCTTCTGATACTGTGCCTCACAGCATTCTTCTGGACAAATTGTCCAACTGTGAGATGAGTACCGGGTATCTGGTGCTCTGGGTGAAGAATTGGCTGAACCGGGCTCAAGGGCTGTAAACAATGAGGCTACATCTGGGTAGTGACCAGTCACCAATAGCATGTCTCAGGGCTCAATTCTAGGGCTTGTTCTGCTCAATAATTTTACCAATGATCTGGACCCAAGTGTTGGAACACACCATTAGGGAATTTCCCAGTGATACTGACTAGCAGGTGCTGTTGACTCTCTCCAGGCACAAGAAGCCTTGCAGATGGATCTAGACAGATTTAAGCGTCAGGCAACGATTAACAGGATGAAATTTAACAAGTTCAAGTGCCAGATTCTGCACCCGAGACAGTGTAACACTGGGCACAAGTAAGAATTGGGAGAGCAGTGACATGGGAATGCAATTCTCTGAAGTCCTTCAGAATGCCAAGTGACTAACTGCAACTAAAAAGAATCTACCAACTCCTCCACAGCTCCATGAAAGGCTACTCAACCTAATTAATCTCCAGATGGCACAGTGGAGAAGATTTTTAATGTGCTTCAGCTCTGAGACTACAAAGGAACTAGCAGAAAATAAGCTTTCCTCATGAAAATACAACTTTATTTATAAACTATACCACCATATAAACCAACCTACCAGCCACTTGGAACATCACCACCAACATGTCAAGATCTCTGGTGGCACTACAAGTTGGCCTTGATCACTTACAGGAATGAGTTCACACAACATCAGTCCATCCTTTCCATCCTCACTTTTCTCAACTTTGCTTTCAGTGATCAAGTTAGTCAAGTGCTGTCTCCCACCCTCATCTTTCGCTCAATATCCTGAAGACAGACCTCAAAGACGCCTTCAGCATGAGCTTAGAATCTAGAAGTCATAATTCTATTTACAAAAACCCAAAAGCCAGTGAAGAAACAGGTTTATAGCACAGCTTCTCTTGCCTCACTAACCTTTCCATGTTTCACAGGCCGAGACTTATCTTCCTCTCTTTTTCTAAGGGATGAGACCTTATTACTCCTTCTACCACTTCCTTATTCTCTACAGGCACCAGCCATCTTGTCTCTCAAGTGGTCTAATGGATATGTAGTAAAGTCTATGTATTTATTTTTGAGGTTTGCCAGTTCTACTTTAATGATGGGCATGGAAAACAAATCAGGTTGCAATCACTCACAGAAAGCCTACTTCTAACATCCTGGTCAGACAGTTCTAGTCCTTTTCTTAAGTTTTTGTTATCTCCCTTGCATGCCCCTCCCCAACTAATCAAACGGTCTTCATTGTGCAGCTTGCAGTCTCTTTACTCAGGCTGTCTGACTTGTAATGATTTCTCCTTCAGCCAGCAGAGACAGTCTTGGGAGACCTCAGTCTCCTCTCACTCCAGCATTAAGACTACAGACCATAGAGAACACTGCAGATTTTCAAGTGCTAACATCTCATTTTCATAGATGCTATTTCTGCATATTGCCAGTTAAAATGCCATTAATACTTTATATGAACACCATTTTACTCAATCCATAATGAAGCATTAATTTTTAAAACATGTTACATCCTATCCTAAGTGGTCCAGCAGGCACAACAGGAGGAAGATCATACTGGCTGGTGCCACAACGGTGATCTTTAAACATAAAACTCCTAATAACTTATAACAAACATAAATGCAGCAACCCTCAAAGTGCAAATTCGAACAGTAAGAAACTAAGTGTGGAAAAGGTGAGAAGAAAATTATTCACCAAATCATGTCATGATGCAT